GGTCCTGATGAACCCCAGAGAAGCTGGGAGGTGCAAGCGCAGGGAGACCAGAGCCTGCGCAGCCCAGGACGGGACGAGGAGATCATTCTCTTTCCATTTATGCACTTCCCCCCTTTCCCGTTCACTGAGTATGTGCTGGGGACCATGTAAAGCTGTCTGCAGCCCCTGCCCCCCGCCAAGCCCCTATCCCCCTGGTCAAGGATCCAGAGGGGCCACGTTACCTCTTGAGGCTAGGGTAGTCCTCTGCACACGGGGGTTCCGGGGATGCTTTCAGGATATCTGGGAAGAGCAGCGACTGCAGAGAGACACAATCCCGATATAGTAAGTGACCATGTGCAGGTTTCAGGAGCCTCAGCCCAGGGTCGCGCATACAGCTGTACAGACTGTGCAGTCGGCAACTTGGAAGACAGTACAAGGCAACCCTGCCTCAGCTCTGGGACTTCTTCCTTGGATTCCAAACCTCTGACCTTTGCACTCTCTCATTTCCTTCTGTATGTATCTCCTGAGTGCACATATGCGGTGTACTGCAGGGGCCCAGGAGAGGGCTCTCACCTCCTGAGGGTCATCTTTGAAGGTGCTGTCTGGCTGCCAGCGCTGTGTGGGTGGCACCCCATGAATGCTCTCAAACAAGGAGTTGAGGGAGCCGGTATCGTACAGATCACTGGGGGGCAAAAGGTAGCTGTCCTCAGAGCCCACTTCCAGCTTGCTGGGGCCGGCGGGGAGGGGAGCTGCCTTGCCAGGGTTGGGCACAGCTGCCTCCAAGCTCATCAGGCTGTTCTTCTTGAGCAGATCCGGGTACTCTGGGGTTCCAGGCGTGTTCTCTGATAGGAATTTCATGAGGTGCGTGGGGCTTTCGAGGGACATGAGGTCTGTGTCATATTCCATGCTGTGGTAGAACCTGGGGGAGGGCAAAGTGAGTGCTATGTTCTCTGGGGCAGGAGGGGCCCTTGGTTGGACTGGAGGTGACACACTGACACACTGACCTTCTTCCATCCAAATTTTCTTTTGGTGCTGGGGATCAAACCAGGGGGCACGGAGCTATGTCCCCAGCCTTTTTTATTTTATTTTGAGGGTCTTGCTCAGTTGCTGAGGCTGGCCTTGAACTTGTGATTCTACCTCAGCCTCCTGAGCCGCTGGCACTACAGGCGTGTGCCACCGCGCCTACGCATCCGGGTACTGTTTCGGCCTTGCAAGAAGCAGGCTGATCTCACCAGGGATGAGAAGAAGATGCCCAGAGTGGAACCATACACATGCTCAGGGTCGAGGGGGGAGAACATGTCTTATCCACTTACAGGACTTATTAATTTATTAACATTTATTTCTTAGCCAGAGTCAACAATCCTGTGTCAAAAATGTCCCCACTTCAAAACAACAGTATGAAGTCATTCCGTGAGCCGTGTATGGGAGGGGGCTGTGGATCTGTGGGTGTAGTAAATAGATGTTTAGAGAAAGGTCTGGAAGGATGTACCCTGAATTGTGAAGGTGGACAGAGGTGCAGGATCACAGGACATTTTTACTGTTTACTTATACAGTCAGTTTTTTTATTGCAGTTGTAGAGGACATAATACCTTTATTTTACTTATTTATTTATTTTTATGTGGTGCTGATGGAACCCAGGGCCTCACATGTGCCAGGCCAGCGCCCCCCACTGAGCCGTGACCCAGCCCTGGAATCAGTGTTGAGAAAGGCCCCCAGGAAAACCCATGCCGGGGCTGCGGCTGCGCAGGGAGGCCGAGCACGCCCCGCCCACACGCCGCTGCCTGCCAGGAGGTGCCCGCCACTGGGGTTTTCTGGAAGGCACGAAGGCCCACGAGGCTTCCCGGCACAGGCCTTGCTCGGTCATTTTCGAGAAGTCTCCCAGTTGGCTGGGAAGGAGAAAGTGGAGCGAGAGGGGCAAGGCCCCCCCAGCGCCCCTCTGGCCATGGCTGCTGTCTACAAGGAAGGGAACACTGGTGGCCCCAGGCGCGAATGCCAGGCAGAAGCCCAAAGAACCAGAGGGAAGAAGTAAGGAACACAACTGTCCCCTCACTAAGGACAGAGCAGCTCCCCTCCCCCAAAAAGGCTGTGGGGAGGAGGGTTTGGAGCAGGGACAGAAAAGCTGCCTCCAGGGCTTTCCCCGCTGGGGCTTTGAAGTTTGTTTTCAGTAAACACCAGCTCAGTGGCCTGCAGGCAGGGGTGTGTGTGTGTGTGTGTGTGTGTGTGTGTGTGTGTGTGAGCGAGCACGTCCAGGAAAGCCCAGGTCAGCCCCCTGCCTCTTCCGCCTTCACCAGCCCCTTCAAAAATATTTTGGAAGATCTTATACATCACACTGCCATAAAGGCGGCTTCAAGGGTTAGGGTTCCGCTTAGTGGGAACAGAGCGCCTGCTTAGCTGGCTCAGGGCCCTGGTTCAACCTCTAGCACTGCAAAAAGGGGGAAAAAAACGAGAAGAGGAAGAAGACAGGCAGGTTTAATGCTGTGGGTTGGAGTATATTAATTTTTTTCTTCTGATTGTCAAAGAAATTAAAGCACTTTCATGAGCCCCTAAAGGCACTGTGGGTGCTGTCCCCTGTGTCCCTGTGCCTAACAGGCAAGTCTGTCCATGTTAGAGGCGTCCGAGGTGGGGGAGGGCTGGGGAGGGCAGAGCCGGCCTCACCTCTTTCCTTGGTCATTTCGGCCCCCGGTGCTAGAAGACAGTATCCGCTTCTCCTTGGGGCCCTGGGGGCAGAAAGGCAGGATTTATGAACGATTCTTGGCTAAGATCTAGCTGTTAAGAGCCTCAACCTGCTTCTGTGGCTTTGGCCTGGAACTCTGGGAGAAGACTCATGGGTCTTTCAGGTTGGCGGCAATTCTAGCCACCATTTAGTCTGGTCCCCAAGTCAGGGAGCAGAGAGAAGCAGCTCAGGCTTACAAGTTAAAGAGCTTTGAACTTGGAGTCCGGCAGACCTGGCTTCCTCCCTTTACTGCTTAAAGTTCTGCGTAAGTTTATATAAAAGACTGCACCTCTCTGAGATGGTTGCTTCATATGTCAAGTGTAGGATTATAAAACCAACTTCAAGGAATTATGAAGATTTATTAATAAAATAATACTGGTTTTTAAAGCAGAGAACTCCTTGTGCACTAGTCCTTGTACCAAATGCTTCTATTCTCTGATTTAACCCTCACCCCACCAGGAGATAGACTGTCATCACCACTGCGTGGATGAGGTGAGGGAACTCTGAATCCAGAGTTCCTGGTTCAATTCCTAGACGCATACTAGCTGTGTGGCCTGGGCAAGGCACTTAACCTCTGCACCCCACATCCTCATCTGTAAAACACAGATGACAAAAATAACTTCAGGGATGGCCGGGAGTGCTCAGAGCAGCACCTAGTGCAGACATAGCCTGACCGCACAAATGTGGCCTTCCATGATTATAGTATTATCACACCTTAGAACATTCTAACTCATTGTCCCCAAGGCTGATAAAGCCAAGACTCCAAGCTAGGGTCCAAACTTAACCTATAAATTCCAGGTTGGGGTTTGAATCAGACTAAGAATTCTGGCTCCTGCCACGGCCCCCACACTGAGGTAGCCATTTCCATTCCTCTCCTGCTGGCCCGGGCTGCACACGGTAATCTTCTGGGAAAGCAGCAGAGTGAGGTAACCAGATCACTCCAGGATGAGAATCCAAGTCAGAGAAGAGGGTGGCCTTCTACCTGGACCCACATGCCCCTGCCCTCCTGTGGCCTCTGAATTCATGAAGACAATGTGTCTTCCTTCTTGTGGTAAAGTGGACAAGGTGCTTCTTAGGCCAGTAAGTTTCAGAGCTTATGTGCAAGGCAACTCTAAATCTTCCAAGTTCAGTTTCGAATCAGTTGTCTCAACAATTGGCTATTCTTGTCCCTGATCCCCAAATCTAGGCAAGTGTCTTGGTGCAGCCCCCCAGGTAAGTGAGCTGTCCTGGGTCAGTTCTGGCAGGGCTGCTGGAGTACTGGGCCGCCAGAGCTGCCGCAGCCCGTGTTCCCTCAGTGAGGATGAGGCCTGGGTCCCAGTGGCAATGCCTGGCACAGGTGGCGGGGGTGTCCCCTGTGTTCCATGTTTGTGATTGCTAACTGGATGGAGCCCTGTTTATCAGAGACGGGAGGGATGAATTCCTGTTCTCAGGAGCCAACAGTCTCAAAGTCAAGGTCAGGGCCCTGGAAATCATTAGAGAACAACAGAAGACAGTGTGGCAGCGAGGCAGGAAGAAGAACAAGATGCTCAGGAGAGGGAGCGGATGTGGCAGAGTGGCATCCAGGAGAAGGCTGGCCTTGGCGAGGCTCAGAAGGAAGGAAGGAAGGAAGGAGGGAGTGGGCTAAGTTAGACAGGAGGAGTGTTCCAGGTGCCAGGGCTGCAACAGGAGGGTGGGGTGATGGGAGGCTGGGACGATCCAGGGACAGGACAGAGAGTGGCCGGGCTGCAGTGAGCCTGGCGAGGCGTTCATCTGCCAACCCACACCTGGCGTGCCCTGGGTGGCAGGCTGTGCGGGGTGCTGGGGACTCAGTGGTGACACGACGTTTTCCTTCCCTCCAGGAGCTCAGTCTCATGGAGGAAATGGAGGAGTGGATGAGCAGGCGGCAAGTTTCTAAGGCTAGGCGGGGAGGATGCCAGTGGGTATGAGGGCCCCAGAGGAGGTACAGAATGGGGGACCCAAGAAAGCACCCCTCACCCCATGAAAGAAGGAGGTGACATTTAAGCTAAGATCCAAGCAGAGAATGGAGTTTAGCCAGGAGGAAGGGGCAGCGGCCAGGAGGCGGAAACAGCGCGTACCAAGGCCCTGGGGTGAGGGGCTGGCCGGCTGCTGGTGGCTGCCACAGCCTGAAAGCAGACCCCCATTCAGTGGGAAGGGGGCGACGTACCATGTAGTAGTCGTAGAGGAAGCTCAGGGCCGCCACGCTGTCGTCGTCCCCGTTGACTCTCATCATGGCCTTCGTGGCGGCTGTCAAGGGGTTTTCCAGGTACGTCCTCCAGGCCTCGTCCTCGCTGGTGTAGGGGAGCTTCTGAAAGGTGACCGGGTCGTTCTTCAGCAGCCGCACAGACCTGAAGCTGGAGGCGCACGAGGAGGGTCAGACTTAGGAAGGTCCCCGCGTGCGCAGCCTCAGGCCAACGCCCAGGAACTCAGAGAGCCACCAGCCTGGGAAACTTGGAACTGCTGTGCCACACTGGGCAGCTCGGGGCAGCGGGATGGACACGAGCTCTGGGGCTGGAGGGACACCAATGCTGCCCCGTAGAGGCTGTGGACCGGGGCCTCCGTTCCCTTCCCTGCAGTGAGGGCCACAGAGCCAACCCTGCGAGACTAGGGGGGATTCAACGGGACACGCGTCAGGAGACAGTTCAGAGGCGATCGATGCAACCAGATGGAAAGTGACAATGACATGCTGCAAAGATGAAAATGGCCGGACAGCCCAGCATGCTTCTTCTGAGGCTGCTGTCCTCAAGGCCGTGAAAGAAGCTGCGGATCACTGTGTCGGGGGACCACGGCCAATGACAGAAGGCCGGGCAAGGAAGCCCTCAGGCAGCAGTGGTCTTGGGAAGTGGCACTGTGGACCACCCTTTATGTAGGGTCCCCAGGCAGCTGCTCAGATGCCAGGACGTGGAGCTGAATGTTTAGGGCACATGGAGGCAGGCAGAACCCGGGCGCTGTGCTGAGAAGCTTCCACAAATACAAGACACGGTCCCCAAGAGACAAGCCCATGGGCTCGAAGGAAAGGGGCTGGGGAAAAGCTACAGGAGGAGGCAGACATTTAGCTGGGGACACTCGGCCCTGGGGATGGCTTCGCTCAGTGGCAGATGGGAGCAGATGTAGGACGGTGGGGACACAATGTAGAATGACGATGATAATAGCTCCTCGTCTGCATCGGGCACTGGTCATGGTTTAGGAACTGAACTGGACTCCTCTCGAGAATCATCATCTAGCCCCGTTCTCACGACCACCCTGCTGAGGCGGCTCCTGGTATTACTTCTATTTTTGGTAGAGGAAACTGAAGCAGGGTCCCGGTCAGAGAGTGGCCCAGGGGGATTCAGGCTCTGAGGGAAGGGTGCTGTAGGACAGGACGGTGTTCTCACACTTGAGCTGCAGGAGAAGGACTCAGATCACTGGGCCAACCTGGGAGTTTCTGAGTCCCTCTGCCGGGG